GGGACATCAAACAACAACAGGGAGGGCAGTATCAGCAATCTAGAGTGTAAGAGAAGGTATAGGTCATTGGGACATGGTAGAGCCTGTCAAGAGTGTCACTCTCGGGGCACTCCCTAGTGAGCCGGTGAAAAGAGAGAAATCATACAGAGTATGCACTGCCCTCAGGGGAATCCATGTACTCCAGCCAGTAAAACCACATCCTAGAATAAGAGAGGACAGGATCATGTCTTCCGTCACCCTAATCTCTTCCACTCTGCGTATCCACATAGGTATTGTAGGGGGAGAGGGAGTCTTCCATAGACTAGGAATGCTGGATTTAGCTGCATCCAGCAAGTGACGTACTACAGAGCGGGAATAGGCTTTCCTGGACATAGGAATGTTGTGTAGCAGGAAAGTACTGGGGTCCAATGGTAAGTCAGATTCCATACATTTCTTCACAATGTCACAAACTGGGGCCCAGAATTGTGCTAAGGCTGGGCAAGACTAGATAATATGGAGTAGAGTACCCTTGTCTGCGTTACATCTCCAGCAGACGTTGGCAACTCCACCATATATTCTGTGTAAGAGCGCCGGTGTTAGATACCATCTCATAAGGCTCTTATAGTTAGTCTCCTGATATTAAGTACAGATCGATGATCGCAGGTTAAAGTGAATTATATTCCGACTTTGGGCGTCTGAAAGAGTGATCCCTAGCTCTTATTCCCAGCGTGTCAGAAACGCCGGTTTCCCGGGCTCTGTCGGTGTTGAAAGAGCAGCGTAGATCTCTGATAGGGTATGCCTCGTCGGGCCCCTGGAATTGCACAACCTCTCAAAAGATGTACGTGCGGTCCCAAAACACGCCGCCGGTGGTAAGGTAAGTAAGAAGTGTCTCAGCTGGTATGCTTTCCATGGATCCAAACCAAAGACTCCATCAGGATCGGTAAGAGATGCCATGGAGGGCCACGTGCACCCACTTATAAAATGGGAGGCCTGAAAGAGGTTGTTGGCGATCAAAGATCGGAAAGGGCCAGACAAGGTTCCCGGTGGAAAGGCAGGGTTACCCATGATTGGGTAGAGCGGGGAAGCTTCACTAATCAAGCGCCACCTGGTGAGTGCTTTCGAGCACACTGCAAGAGTAGCACCAACCAAGGAGTGAGCTCTAAGCGAGGGGGGGGGAGAGTCGAGGGACACCATGCCACCCTAGCCAGAAGGCAGGGCGACAAGGATTCCTCCAGGGGCACCCTTTGTTTTGTAGGGGAATGTCTACACCAGTCAACCAAGCGAACCAGATGACTAGCTACATAGTATTTCTGTAGGTAAGGGAGGGCTATGCCCCCTGAGTCTTTAGGTAAAGTCAGGAGGGAGTGGCTCAACCGAGGATGGCGATTAGCCCAGATAAACTTCGTCAACAAAGAGTTGACCTGGCGAAAGTACCTGTCGGGGATCGTGATAGGTAGGGCTTGAAAAAGATAAAGGAATTTGGACAGAATAGTAATTTTGATGGCGTTGCACCTTCCAAACCAAGAAAAGAAGCCACTCTGCCAGTTGGAAAGAAGCGTGCGTACCTGTGCCAAGAGAGGTGGGAAATTGTATGTAAATGTATCTTTCACGTCCGGAGGTATGAACGTGCCAAGGTATTTCAACGCTCGGGTCGTCCACTGAAAGTGAAAGTTATGGGCAAATCAACAGCGAGATTCCCATGGCTGTTGATTTGCTAAAATCGATCTTCAGATTGGATAGCTCTCCATATGTTGCGAAGTCCTCCATGAGATTAGGTAAGGAGATTACCGGGTTGGTGAGAGAGAACATCAGGTCATCCACGTAGGCAGATACTTTGTATTCCGCTGATCCCAGTTTAAGCCCAGTCACATCAATATTAGATCTGATATGCCCGAGGAATGGCTCCAAATGGACCGAACTTTTAACTAATGCCACTGCCTATCCTTTGACCTCATGCCAGCAGACTTTGAATGGCTAATAATGGGGTCTTCATTATGAAATGGCTCACAGTAGTCATTTGTCAGAGTGTGTTGGATTAAGCATACAGAGAGCTGACAATTCTGTGTAAGAACATATAGGGTGCTAATGTGTTCTCTATTGCAATAATATGCTGTGGATTGAAGTGTGGTGGGCTACATATCCCAACCCCAGTATCTTTTTCTTTATGTTTTCTTGGGAGGTGGGGGGTGTTTTTTATTTCATTTGTAGGAGAAGTGTTGGGAGAATATAGAATCTTCCCAATACTGAGAGCCAGTACAGCTGTCAAAAGGCGGCTCTTTACCAAGAGCTGATTGCTCAGCTCATGGTCTCCTCCCTACCTATAGAATGGTGGCTGTCAGTCACTGCTTTGAGCAGAGATAATCCCCTCCCCTCTTTGTTCCTCTAGTGCTCAATGGAGGGACAGGCAGGGTAGGGGGCAGGCACAGCTGGCATTGGCTCTAGAGGCAGAGCCAGTTGTCAATCAGACAGTCGAGTGGATTCTGTCAAAATTGTCGGGATCCTTCCTGGGTGTTACCTGCTTACTTCGGGTCACAGGAGTACAATAGTAAACTCAAAAGAGAAGCAAAGCCAAAAAAAAGGTTTGTCTTTATGAATGTCTTTACATTCATTCATAAAAGGTAAGTCTCCCAAGACTCAATTGTAACAAGTTCCAAAGCATCAATTGCTAAATAGAAACAGAATATCTGCATTACGCACAGTGTACTAAGAAATGTGACATATCACAAACATGATAGTCTGTTTGTAAACAGAAGGATAATAAAGCCAATCCATGAAGAAGAAATCCAGAAGAAATAGAGATCCCCCTGATGATATACTACAATCCCATTTCTACTTACGTAAAAATGAGGGCTTCCTTTAGATTGTAAGCCCTCAGGGGAGGGCACTCCTTACCATCTTGTCTTGAATTGTATTGTAATTGTAATGTCTTCCTTATATTGTAAAGCGCTGCGCAAACTGTTGGCGCTATATAAATCCTGTATAATAATAATGATAAATCAAGAAAAACCTCTATACATAAACAGATATAGGTCATAGTCTCTATTTAGACCCCCCGGATGTAAAGACACCAATCTGTTGATCCATCCGAGCACCTGTTGTGTTTAAAAGAGAACTATAGCTAACCTTTTATTTTAGCTATTGTTCTCTTTTTGGTCACAAATGTACATTACCGAAAGTTCTCCTGTGACCCAAACTCAGCAAATAGCTGGTTACTGCCCGCTATATGTTAGCAGCGCAGAGCCACTGTAGCTGGGAAAGATCCCGACAATATTGTTGGGATCCACCCACCACTGCCTTATTGACAGCTGTCTTTTACCTCTCTAGAGCCAGCTGTGCCCACTCCCTCCTGTCTGTCCCTCCAATGAGCACTGGAGGAACATACAGGGGAGGGGGGAATCCCTGCGGAGAGTGATGACTAACAGTCACCGCTGTCTGCAGGAAGAAGCTGTGAGCTGAGTGAATAGGAGTTTGTGATCTCTCAGTTCTCGCGCTATAGAGCCGATTTGTAACAGCTGCATTATCACATGCCGGCTCAAACTATTGGGAAGAGTACATTTTACTCTCCCAACAGTTCTCCTTTAAATCTAAAATCCGATCACTCCTGTCCTTTGTTAAGGTATGCCATCAAGTACTAATGGGATGTCAGTCTTTGTATCTCCACATTCTACAAAATGTTTGGATATCATATTGATAAAGTTCCTTTCTGACAGTGTCTGTGTTGTGCACTGCAGGTTTTTCACCCTATGAGTGGTCTCCTCCACATAGATGAAATTACAAGGAAGCATTTGTGCATAAACGACAAATAAGGATAGACAAGAGTAGGATCCTTCGGCCTGATAATTCACCATGGTGGGTTGCAGTGCACATGGGCACTAACAAGTGGAGCCAACAGGGACTCTGGGATGACTGTGTAGCACTGAGCAGATTCACACAGTGAAGATCCTTGAAATGGGGAGGAAGTGAAGTAATTAACATGGCAGGCTGGGAAAGTGACTTCTGTGACTGACTGTCACATGATCAAGAGTACGTACCATCAGCTCCCGCTCGTTTATGGTGACAGCTTTGACAGCGAAGTCAGTGTGCTGGGAGTGCACTCGAAGCACACAACAGCAGTGCCTAATGGATGCAAATATATGGCAGCCTGGAGTTAAAGTGATATTAAAGTCAAAAGGTTTTCAAGCTATTTTAAATACTGGTTAAATCACTTACAATGGTTGCTACTCCTTGATATTTAAAAGTTTTAGTTTCCTGACGAATCGGCTGGTCCCCTGAGCACTGGTTGTGATATCTTGTTTTAGGGTAGCTCATTACCCTTGCGGGGTCCTATGGAGCCACCCTTGTTTGTGCTAGAAAGCTGTGTGTGTATCCACTAACACCAGCACAGCAAGGCAGGACACTCCCCTCCATGTTATTAGATGGAGGGCTCCTGGTGGCTTTGCTTTGTCTTGTGTTCTTGTACTGGACAGGAAGCTCAGAGAAGCTGAAGTTAGAGAGATGGAAATGTTCAGAAACATGATGAGCATAAGTGTTTGGACAAAAATATAAATATTTTGCTGGGCTGCCGCATATATGTGTTACAATTACAGGAAGAGGTTTACATGTAAAGACTTGTCTATTAAGGACACTTTGCGATGTTTAACAGAGTCCTTAGAATCAAAGGAATTCACGTCTCATTCCTTCACATATCCTAAAATAGGACACACATTCCTAAAATGCAGGACAGTGGGCGGAGCCATGCAAATCGTTCCTTTTACATTCCAACAGTAGTATTGTATGCAGTGGGCCATGCTAGAGGCTCTGTCATGACATTTCAACTTTCCATAACAGAAAAGTCAGCTCTGTCCCTTTAATAGGCAGCCCTTTTTTTCTTACCCATTTCTTTCAACCCTGCCTTATGTGGACCGATGATCCAATCAGTGAGCAGGACGTCATATTTCGGCGCCCGCCGTGCCGTCTGCGTTCCACAGATGAAACGCATACTTGAGAGCACGGTGTTACTGGGTGCTGGTCGCGGCTGCTGTCATCTGTAGACACCACCATGGCAGAAGCGAGGGCAGCGGCTGGTAGAAAGTCCCATAAGGGGCGCAGTGCGGCGGGGCAGGCTGCCAGCAGGAGGGAGCTGATCTCCCGGTCTGTACACAGTGCTGAGCAGTGTCTGAGGGATCACGACTATGGGACAGCCTATGCACATTACTTACTAGTGCTCAGCCTGGCTCCTGAGCTAAAACAAGACTTCAAGGTATCTGCTAGTATGGATTATTGGATGATGCCCCCCATTTGTCAAAGCTTTCCTCTCTGTGTGTGTTAATAGAATCAAAAGTATTCCCATCAATATTTTCTAGTTTGACAGAGATTGTTGGAGTTGCGTGTGGCATGTCTGTGTTTCATATGGTGACAGGCAGTGGTGTCTTTTGGTTTGGGGCTGCCCTAGGCAAGACAAAACTCGGCGCCTCCCCCCCCCCCTTTACTAAATTCAACCTACACCTGCACAATCCTTTTCGGGCCAGCGTTCACTGAAAGAGCACTGGCCGAAAGGATCTGAGTGCCGGCGCGGACTCAGCTACACGGTCTGCATCCATCAGAGATGCAGACCGTGTAGCTGCTCCCACAAGTCAGGTATGCGGTCTGTGACCACGTACCTGACTGCTGAGCTGGCTGCGGGCCACAAAGTACCGGCTCGCGGGCTGCAATTGGCCCGCGGGCTGGTGCACTGCCGCCCTCTTGGAATCTGCCACCCGAGGCAAACGCCTTGTTTGCCTCGCGGCAGATACGCCCCTGGTGATAGGTCCAGGTACGTTTTTGTATCTTAGTGCAATATCACATCCTTCTAACACAACAAAAGAGAAAACACAGCTCAATTCCAACAAATAAAACTCCCCTTGCAGTGGGTCTACTCCTGCACTGCAAGGGTTAAATGTTGGTTTAAGGTACCTGGGAAAAGGACTAAAGCTGCCCACACACCTTTACAATTTATCTGCAGATTTTCTGTGGTCAGATGGAAAAAGTGAAACAGATTGGCCCAGGTGGAAATTACTCCATCCACACAGTTAATTGTAGATGGAGGAATCTGTTGCACCTTTTCCATCTGACCACAGAAAATCTGCAGATAATTGTAAGGTGTGTGGGCAGCTTTACTTGGACTCCCGCAGGGTCCAAAACTGGCACCTGCAGCCTCTTCCCCCACCTAACCCCTGGCTGATATAACACATACAATGCAGGGTCCATAGTTTTATAATAAAGGTGAGCACCGACTTGTGTGAGAGAGCGGATCAGGTAAGTAAAAATGCTTCACAGATACCCTAGACATAAACAACCATTTAATCCTTGCTGTGCGAGGGAAGCCCCACTGCAAGGGGAGTTATTTTTTTCTGGCGTTAGGCTTTAATCTGACATTTATTAGGCTTTAATCTGACACCACCATGGCAGAAGCGAGGGCAGCGGCTGGTAGAAAGTCCCATAAGGGGCGCAGTGCGGCGGGGCAGGCTGCCAGCAGGAGGGAGCTGATCTCCCGGTCTGTACACAGTGCTGAGCAGTGTCTGAGGGATCACGACTATGGGACAGCCTATGCACATTACTTACTAGTGCTCAGCCTGGCTCCTGAGCTAAAACAAGACTTCAAGGTATCTGCTAGTATGGATTATTGGATGATGCCCCCCATTTGTCAAAGCTTTCCTCTCTGTGTGTGTTAATAGAATCAAAAGTATTCCCATCAATATTTTCTAGTTTGACAGAGATTGTTGGAGTTGCGTGTGGCATGTCTGTGTTTCATATGGTGACAGGCAGTGGTGTATTTTGGTTTGGGGCTGCCCTAGGCAAGACAAAACTCCGCGGCCCCCCCCTACTAAATTTACCCTACCCGGCTGTGGTCTCAGGCGGTCTCTGCAGAGTCTGTTGTGGGCGCTGCAGGCTGCAAAGCCCCCCTGAGACCCGGCAAAGCCCCCCCACAGATCCTGCAGGATTCCAGGAAGGCTCTGCAGGATCTGTGGTGGGCTTTGCAGGCTGCAGAGCACACTATGGATCATGCAATGCCCCTCTGAGACCCGATAAAGCCCCCCCCCCACAGATCTTGCAGAGACACTGCAGGATCTCCGGGGTTGTGCAGGATCTGTGGTGGGCTCAGCAGGCTGCAGAGCCCCCTAAGGATCCTGCAGAGCCAACCAAAAGGTATTGCACAGCACACCTAAGACTCTTTGGTGGGCTGTGCAGAATCTATCCCAGATAGCAAGGATAACTTGCCACAAACTTGTGGCAGGTTAAATTGTAATTCTTGTTAACTTGCTGCACACATTCCTGGCAAGTTGTAGACTTGCAGAACACTTGCAGCACATGTTCTAGTTGACACTTTTTGAATTTGTAGCAAATTTGCTTGGCAAGTCTACAGCAAGAGTCCTGCAGGTCTTAGCAAGAGTTCTGCAAGCTCGCTGGTCTGGAGACTTGCAATGCAGACTTGCTGTAATTGTGCAACAAAAGTGTGAAGCTTGGCAAGTCTGCAATAGTTTAGCAAGTCATTTTCAAACTTGCAGCTCAATGGCTTGCTATCTGGGATGCTGGGCTCTGACAGCACAGTCCTCTTACCTTGCACGGCCTGACCTCTTTGGAACACGTCCTCCTCGTCCTCGGCGCCCAACACGGCCTCCTCGTCCTCGGCGCCCAACACGGCCTCCTCGTCCTCGGCGCCCAACACGGCCTCCTTGTCATCTTCACTGCCCGACTGGAGCTCCGGCGACACCTCCCACCTCCTCCGTCTGTGTCTCTGCCCCCCGCCTCCTCCATCTTCGCCCCCATGGAGGAATCTGTTGCACCTTTTCCATCTGACCACAGAAAATCTGCAGATAATTGTAAGGTGTGTGGGCAGCTTTACTTGGACTCCCGCAGGGTCCAAAACTGGCACCTGCAGCCTCTTCCCCCACCTAACCCCTGGCTGATATAACACATACAATGCAGGGTCCATAGTTTTATAATAAAGGTGAGCACCGACTTGTGTGAGAGAGCGGATCAGGTAAGTAAAAATGCTTCACAGATACCCTAGACATAAACAACCATTTAATCCTTGCTGTGCGAGGGAAGCCCCACTGCAAGGGGAGTTATTTTTTTCTGGCGTTAGGCTTTAATCTGACATTTATTAGGCTTTAATCTGACACCACCATGGCAGAAGCGAGGGCAGCGGCTGGTAGAAAGTCCCATAAGGGGCGCAGTGCGGCGGGGCAGGCTGCCAGCAGGAGGGAGCTGATCTCCCTGTCTGTACACAGTGCTGAGCAGTGTCTGAGGGATCACGACTATGGGACAGCCTATGCACATTACCTACTAGTGCTCAGCCTGGCTCCTGAGCTAAAACAAGACTTCAAGGTATCTGCTAGTATGGATCATTGGATGATGCCCCCCATTTGTCAAAGCTTTCCTCTCTGTGTGTGTTAATAGAATCAAAAGTATTCCCATCAATATTTTCTAGTTTGACAGAGATTGTTGGAGTTGCGTGTGGCATGTCTGTGTTTCATATGGTGACAGGCAGTGGTGTATTTTGGTTTGGGGCTGCCCTAGGCAAGACAAAACTCCGCGGCCCCCCCCTACTAAATTTACCCTACCCGGCTGTGGTCTCAGGCGGTCTCTGCAGAGTCTGTTGTGGGCGCTGCAGGCTGCAAAGCCCCCCTGAGACCCGGCAAAGCCCCCCCACAGATCCTGCAGGATTCCAGGAAGGCTCTGCAGGATCTGTGGTGGGCTTTGCAGGCTGCAGAGCACACTATGGATCATGCAATGCCCCTCTGAGACCCGATAAAGCCCCCCCCCCACAGATCTTGCAGAGACACTGCAGGATCTCCGGGGTTGTGCAGGATCTGTGGTGGGCTCAGCAGGCTGCAGAGCCCCCTAAGGATCCTGCAGAGCCAACCAAAAGGTATTGCACAGCACACCTAAGACTCTTTGGTGGGCTGTGCAGAATCTATCCCAGATAGCAAGGATAACTTGCCACAAACTTGTGGCAGGTTAAATTGTAATTCTTGTTAACTTGCTGCACACATTCCTGGCAAGTTGTAGACTTGCAGAACACTTGCAGCACATGTTCTAGTTGACAATTTTTGAATTTGTAGCAAATTTGCTTGGCAAGTCTACAGCAAGAGTCCTGCAGGTCTTAGCAAGAGTTCTGCAAGCTCGCTGGTCTGGAGACTTGCAATGCAGACTTGCTGTAATTGTGCAGCAAAATTGTGAAGCTTGGCAAGTCTGTAATAGTTTAGCAAGTCATTTTCAAACTTGCAGCTCAATGGCTTGCTATCTGGGATGCTGGGCTCTGACAGCACAGTCCTCTTACCTTGCACGGCCTGACCTCTTTGGAACACGGCCTCCTCGTCCTCGGCGCCCAACACGGCCTCCTCGTCCTCGGCGCCCAACACGGCCTCCTCGTCCTCGAAGCCCCACTGCAAGGGGAGTTATTTTTTTCTGGCGTTAGGCTTTAATCTGACATTTATTAACAGATGTAAAGCACTGTGTATCATATGATGGTGTAAAGCGTGGACCATACCTGCATGTGTATGGTAATGGTAAACTTATAGTCCACGTTGTGTGACAAGGTGACAACACAGGAGCACAACTGGGAGACAGGGACAGAGTGTTATAAAAGGAAGTGCCTGAACAAAATAACTTCATGTCAGGATCATCAGGTGTTATTTTTGTTTTATCATCTTTTATTTATGTATTTTTTTGTATCATCCATATAATTGACACGATCACCAGGTATTATTATAGGGCCCATTTACTTCTTTGTGGTGTCTTATGTTAATTGCTAACGTGCGTTGAGGCAGCCCATGGAAATAATGGGTTGCCAACACACCCTTACATGCAAAAAAAAAAGCACATGACCCTTTCTTTGTAATGCAGATGCATTGCTGTAGTGTGTTTGGGGTACCAGTCAATATAGCACAGTTAATACAGTGATGTTTGATGCGTTACCATATCAGTCAAGCAAAACAAATGGCAAACGCACTCATCAATTTGTTACCAAATTTTGCTGTTGATGCGCTACCATAACACAGCAGTGTAAATGGGTCTGATTGAAATCTGCAAGTTAAAACATTTTGGAAATGACTTGTTAAAGTTTGTATCCGGTTTTATGATTATGGTTACATGAAGTTTAAACAGTTGCAAATTATTTGTACAGTAACAAGGTACAGTAACACAATAACAGGTAGTAAAGAAACCCTCTTAACATGATTTAACAACCCTAGTTTAGACATTATATTCCAGGAATAGTACAGTAAGTAGGCTCACAGCACGGCCTCTAATTAATCCCACATAGTCAATTAGTATCTGCATGATACAACACATAAAACATGGAAATCTATTTCTCCACCATTCCCAGAAAGAGGACAAAACAACAGCATAAGTGAATGAAATGGATATTAGGAACCAAAAATGTAAACAGCAGGGTATGTCTCACTTTTTTTTTTTCTTTATCACAGGAAACCTTTCAATATGCTCTATTTAAATGGGCTGAAGAGCTGTATGCTTTAAATAGAAATCAAGATTTATTTAACTGTTACGAGCAAGCATTTGAGCTTTATCCAAACGATGACGTTATCTGTAACAGCATGGGTGAGCAACTCTTCAGGTGAGGAGTACTTCCACTTCGCTTCTCAGAAATGTTTGGAAATTACACGTCATACATACCAATAATTAATGTTCTTTCTTAATGCTAACAATAATAGCTTTGTGTTTCATTGTAGTTTAGATGTTCCGTCCAAAGAAAGTACATTTTTACACTGTATCCTTTACTAAGGGAGTAACCATTTTAAAAAAAAATTCTTAGGCCCCATTCACATTTGTGAAATGCATGCAAAATTCAGGATAAGTTAATACATTAACCTTCAATTTGTAGAGCAGAGATCCCAGGGAAGAGAGCAGTGTCTTAGAGTAAAGCATCACTTACACCAACCCTCCCTATATCCCTAACACTCACACTAACCCTACCTATAACTCTAGTCCTAACCCTTATACTCACACTAACCATCCCTGTAACTCTATTCCTAACCCTAACACTCATACTAATCATCCATGCAACTCTAGTCCTAACCCTAACACTCACATTAACCATCCCTGTAACTCTAGTCTTAACCCTCCCTGTAACCCTGACACTTACACTAACCCTAGCTGTAATGCTAGTCCTAACCATCCCTGTAACTCTATTCCTAACCCACACATTAACGATCCATGCAACTCTAGTCCTAACCCTAACACTCATACTAATCATCCATGCAACTCTAGTCCTAACACTCACATTAATCATCCCTGTAACTCTAGTCCTAACCCTCCCTGTAACCCTGACACTTACACTAACCCTAGCTGTAATGCTAGTCCTAACACTATTGATCCCTGTAATCCTAGTCCTAACCCTAACACTTACTCTGACCTTCCCTGTAACCCTAGTCCTAACCCCCGCACTCACTCTGACCCTCCCTGTAACCCTAGTCCTAACACTCCCATTATTAATTCCTGTAACTCTAGTCCTAACCCTCACCCTAAACATTCCTGTAACCCTGACAATCACATCAACCCTTCCTGTTACCCTAGTCCTAACACTCACACTAACCTTCTCTGTAACCCTAACACTCACTCGCTCTAACCATCCATGTGACTTTAGTCCTAACCCTCACTGTAATTGCATACTCACCCCTTTTATGCTGGAATCCGAGGTTCCAGAGCCTACAGTTTCAAGAAATGCAGAAATAAGGACAGTACCATCGCCTATAATAGAACAGATCTAATTCTGCATTTTGTGTGCTGTTTTACATGCATTCAACTGCACCAAAAATGTGTATGTGAAGAAGGCGCCTTAGTCGGGATGGCAAAATGCTTCTTGTATTGAGGCAGTTTGTCATTTCTTGCATCTTGAAAAGAATACAATTATAGCACCGTAGCAGAAATGTAAACTTACTATATCAATTTTGGTAATGGTCATTTAAAGTAACATTAAAGTCAAAAATGTTGTTTCAAGCGATGCGGGCGGGAGGCTGACTTCTTGCACTGTTTTTGGTCATGCCCTATTATCAGAGCCTTTTGGTTGGAGGTCATAGAAACTGGCCTCGGCTTCCCCAATATTTGCAATCCTGCGTTCTGCCTCCTAGGTCTATTTGGGGAGCTGCCATTGGCCTCAAAAACTCAGACACTCCTCCGCCTCCTTTTATTCTATGCCAGAAAGACCATCCTCCTGGTCTGGGGTAGCCCGACGGCTCCCTCCCTGGGCGAATGGAAAAGACTAGTTGAACAGGGTAAGTTTAAACCGCCGTTAAAGGGTTTTTTTGTTTTTTTTTAAAAACTGTTTGCCTATATCTACTGCTTGCTAGCCATAGATATAGACAAAAAAAATGGAGGGTTTAGAACCCCTTTAATCAACCTTTTTATCATGTGCCTGCAGAAGTCATAGATATGATCCATTGGTTAGTAATGTTGTACGTAATTTTGTTTCTTTGTTCTCAGTATAGTAATGGCATTATTTTGGAAACAGGCTAGGTTTTCGAGATGAAGCAGCTGGTTATTTCTACAAAGCCTTGAAGCTTAATCCAGACAGTGCTGAGGCCAAAGAAAATTTCTATCGCGTAGCAAACTGGTTGGTGGAACGTTGGCATTTCATTATGCTAAATGACAAGAAGAGGAACCTGATGTATCAGAGAGCTATTGAGAAGGCTGTACAGGCTGGCTGCAGAACTGTGCTGGATATTGGCACTGGTACCGGAATCCTAAGGTTTCTCCAAAATATATTGATATTTTATTGACTTGTGTCTAAAGAGGTTTGTGTGAAAATGGAGGATGTCTCTGTGTAGTACCATTCCATCCCCTCTGTCTCCATTTTGCTGGGACAGGAAGAGATTCTGGTTTGGAACTTCAAAGCAAATGTTCATAACAATTTTTTATATATATATATATATATTACAGAAGTGCTCATGCTCACAGAATGGGTTATTGTTGTTCTGCTATTTCACCATAAGCAGCAGAGGAGGATGGATTTATATCACAAGGCAGTGTTTAGACTTCATTGCTTTCTCACAGAATTGCTGTCATCACCAGTTGGAAGCCCGTGCTTTTTAAGTCCCATCCTCTTAACTATAACCTCTGCTGGCAATAACAAGCACGTAGGCTATTATCATTCCACTTCAGTATTAATTATCATTATGTGACAAACTTCTTTAGAGAGTCCAGTCAGAGACCATTCAAATAGTGATCCATTTAAAAGGATTGTCTTACTTATTGTATGCCTTTTGTTTGGTTTCCAGCTGGACACTTGCAGGAATTTTTAGGGGCTCTACAAATCCAGACATCTGAGTGTAAGATTTGTGTGTTTGCCTAATGCATCCTTGTCTTTTTCTGTTTCAGCATGTTTGCAAAAAGAGTGGGTGCCTCTCATGTTTACGCCTGCGAGCTGTCCAGAACAATGTATGACCTGGCCTGTGAGGTGGTGGCAGCCAATGAAATGCAAGGAGGGATCAAGCTCCTGCACATGAAGTCTCATGATATACAAGTCCCTGAACACATTCCTGAAAAGTATGTGACAAATACTATACTGACTGTATGCTGCCAGAGAAAGCAGCACATTTTCTGCGATAAGAACCATCTGTGTCGCCACAGAGCACCCAATCAGATTCAGACTTTAATTCTTTTGCTGTCGTTTTAAAAGCAGGTACCTGATTGGCAATACAGACAGTTCTTAATTCAAACACATTGACGAATTCAAGAACTCCAGGCAAAATTTTTATGTGTGTGAGTATACATTTTTCATTTTAGTCCCTAGACGAAAATAAGCAGTTAACCCTTGCAGTGCAGGGGTAACCCCACTGCAAGGGGTAATAACACTTTTGCCTGGAGTTCTGCTTTTACATTTTTACCTGGTGTACATTTTTTTTTTTCAAGCTTTGGAAGCGGAGAAACAATATTGATTATTAAATGTACAGATTTGAAATTGGCTTATTGTATAAAGCTTAAACCCTAAATGAGGTTGTCACTGCTGGTGTCGCAGAGATTTCCGTTGACTTTTTGTTCTAGTGACCACACCAGTTTCCTAGTTTGAGTGACCCTGGCTTTAATAAGGGTCTTCAAGGAGCAGTGATGATATGTGCATTAGTGATACGTACATTAACTGAAAGCAACGAATCAATTGTGTTTGTTCTAAAGTCAGCTCAGTGAAAGGTTAACTCTATATGTTATGCTTTTCAATTTAATAATCACATTATTAAATGTTTTTTTATGAAAGGCCACAAATAACTGTAAGGTAAACTAGCACATGTGGTACCAAGTGCCATGCAACATTAATCACCTAAACCTTCAGGGTTAGCCTAAAACACAGAAATCTATGTACAAAGTGCAGTAATGCTATACATCTTTTATTGTTCTAACCTTGCCTTGAATTGTAGAAATATGAAACTTGGTTCCTGAAAACTGTATGTGCGCAATGTTCTTTGGCCCACTGTTTAATCAATATTGCATGTCATCTGAACAGTGTGAAACTCTCAATGCTTAGCAGAAACCGGTAATGAAACCATAGGCTGTGTTACTGCCTGGCTGCCATGCTGATCCTCTGACTTTAAGTGATATTAAAGTCAAAAGGTTTTTAAGTTATTTTAAATGCAGGTGAAATCACTTACAATGAATGCCGCTCCTTGATGTTTAAAAGTTTTTTTTTTATTTGCTACGGAATCAGCGGGTCCACTGACCACTGGCCCTGATTTTAGGGTGGCTCCTTTCCCTAGCAGGGTTCCATGGAGCGTGGTGCGACTCAATTCACTGCATAGCACCGCGGCCTTAGAACTGGATTGAATGTCACTTTGTGACATTTCAGTCACAGTGAAGTCCTAACAACAACAACAACAACAACAACAAAAGGGTTACAGTGTGATATGCTGTTTCCAGCACATTGGCACCGCAGCCTTCTTATTGCACCCCTGTGGCTGTGTTCTACAGCTGCTGCTGGTGTGTATGGGTCCCAAAACATTTGTACAAACAAGACCGCATAAAAAGAGTTCTCATAATTATATTCCCTATGGATGAACTGTTGCCACAGATTCACATTGCATTCAGCAATTCTGGTTGCTTTGTATCCAAAGAGTATATCTGAGATTAAAGGGTTTCTAAAGCCTCTGTTTTGTTTGCATATATCTACTGCTAGCAAGCTGTAGATATATGCAAAACGTTTTCAAAAAATAAATTAAAAAACGCTTTAACGGGGGTTTAAACGTACCCTTTCTTCGCCACGCGCTCCTGTCAGAAAATCTGAAACTGTTTGGGCGGCCGCAAAGCATCTTGACAGGAAGTACCAACAAGGACAGAGGAGTCAGCGCTGGATCGGAGAGCCGCCGCAGCGCTGGAAGTAGGCACTTCTGATCCAGCGGTGTCTGCATGCGGGTGCACGCGTCCATAGACTTACCTTGCGTCTCTGCTCGTCTCCCGGCCAATAATCCGAACTGCTTTGCGCCCGCCCCAAGATGCTTTGCGGCTGCACAAACAGTTCCGGATTCTCTGCGCGGGAGTGCGCAGCGATAACGAGGTAAGTTTAAACCGCTGTTAAAGCGTTTTTTTTTTTTTACTTTTTGCCTATAACTACTGCTTAATAGCAGTAGATATAGGCAAACAATCGGAGGCTTTAGAACCCCTTTAACATTGGGGGGAGGGAATTTTTTTTTTACTTTAATGTCCCTTTAAAGTAAAAAGATCACTTCTGCATTTCAATGAGTCCAAGTCTTATAGCGATACTGTATGAGCGTCACTGTGATTAAGAGATGGATGAAATGTGTTTGTTGTTTGTAGAGTTTCTGTTTTCTTTGTTTTTATGGATGCATGAGAACTACTGTGCTTGTGCTGTTATTTACACTTTGGTCTTCTTCAGGATTTCACTTGTTGTCACAGAAACTGTTGATGCTGGTTTGTTTGGGGAAGGAATTCTGGAGTCTCTAATTCATGCCTGGAAAAACTTACTTTTAGAACCAAAGGTTAGCAAATTTTAATATTTCTTCCCCAAAGGGCTTCCAATGGAGGTGTTAGATGGGTGTTACTACTCTACCAACTTAATTCTTAGAAACATCTTTGTATACATTGATCCAATACAAGTTTTTTTTTTTTTTTTTGGTCCTCTCAGAACAAAGACTTTCACAGTGAGAGATATGGGCAAGTCATTCCAGCGGGGGCTGTTGTATTAGGAATGGCTCTGGAATGCCCAGAGATTCGAAAACATCACAGGTGGGTAAAATGTTTGTATTCACTTTTTATTATGCTTTAAAAAACAATAAATGCATCAAATGAAAATTTGTACAAGTGATAAGACTGAATGTAGCATTGTCACCTTCACCGATCGTGGATGTTATACTAGAAACCTAGATATGGGCTTGTTACTATATCTATTATAAAGTGTGAATTCTAAATGCACAGAGGTATAACAGGTCTGAAAAATACATTGGGAGGAATTAATCAAAACTAGAGCACACTGAATCTGGAGCAATTATTAGCAACCAACCAGCTTCTCTTTAAATTTTGTTCCGTTCAGCTTTGAAAATGAAAGATAGAAGAGCTCAATTAAGCAACTGCTCCAGATTTTTTCTGCTCCAATTTTGATAAAATCTCCTCTTTAAAAAAGAAAAATGGCCCACAAGTGATGTAAATGCTTGAAATGTAAATCATTAAAGTGTCCTAAATGTTTGCCTGGAGTTCAGTACAATTGGCCAAGTGTATGTAGATGAAATATATAACAGCTGTTTTCCCTGCCAGTAGATTTATCGTTCTATTCATCCAGTCCTGAGATTTACAGTTATGCCACAAAGCATAGCCGGCCTCAAAACCTGACTTTTCCCTACTGCAAATAATACAAATAGATTGTGTCCCTCCACCAGCTTGTGACTGGACAGTAAGAGATAAAGAAGTAGACTAATGAGCTCATCTCTCTGCCACTCTTTTCACTAATCAGTATGTTTCTGCTGTACATGCAATAGGTTGATACCAATTAAAATGCAGGTACTTGCACTAGGTGCTTTCAAATACCTGAATACAAGTAATGTTTTTTGTTTTTTTATCAACACCTGTATGAATCTGTTATCTGCCTTCAGTTCAGCTGATGGAGAAGAAATAGGAGTAATGTAGTAGCTTGGCAGAAGGCACTGTATGATGCTTGCCTATGCCTTGTGTGCTTAAGTCCTGAGAAAAAATTCAAGTAGTGAAGCAAAGGTAAAGGTAGCACCCAAAAACATTTCAAGTTCTCTTTAAAGATGGGGACACTTTTAACCTGCTACATAACATCACGTCTTTGGGGTATCAGGCAAAAAACAACCTTTTATGCATCAGGAAATATTGCACCTTGTTAACGACCAATGGTGTCAGGGTGGCATCAGACAGGCAGATATTTGGCAACAATCACTCTAGGTGTGAATGAGTGTTTAGGGATTTCTGTGGCAGTAACCTACACATTTCTGCATCAGGAATCCCAAATATGATATATAACAGAAGGGGCCGTTGTCACCCATTTAAGTTAATGATTGGGTGACAACATCCCCATTTGAAAGCGGCCCTGCACAATCGATGCATACAGGGAAAGTGATTTATTTCTAACCGCATGCAGTCGTATCACATATGATTACATGCAGAGTGCCGGCAGACCAGCGCTTTCGATTTCGGCCGTTGACACTCGATCAGTAACTAACTTAAACGGGTGACAACGGCCGCTTCGAAAAGGCATATTTGGGATTCCTGCTACAGGAATCTGTAAATGCACATTCACACTACAGTGACATTTTTTTTCACTACAGTCAAAAAATTAGCTTTATTCTCGACAGTGTTTGGCCAGTGCGACAAGTGGGTACTTGGGTGGGTGGTGATGGCAACAGATAGCACTGTGCAATATTAAAATGAAGAAGCAAGGAGTCATCAGTGATCCTGCTATGTATGTTCCTTTTGTTTTTGCTTTTTATTTATGAAAGAAGTATCAAGTAAGTTAAGAATAGCCAACGTTTTGGGGCCTCACAGGGTCCCTTCCTCTAGTCGACATAGTGAGGAAAGAGCAGCGCCAGAGTGCTGCCTCTGCCGACAGGCTGGAACAAGGGCAATAATATAACTTCATTTCTTTGCCTGAACTGCAAGATTTTGGGACACATTTCAACTCTTCCAACTCATTGGATTGCAGAGCAAACATAATAGGCACATCAGTTATCTTCAACGGAGAAAAGAAAATGGCCTGGTCAAGTACTTGCCATCATTACAGCCTAACGCAGACCAGTTGTTTTAAGTAATCTAAACACCACCTCTGAAGGATAGTGAGGCGGAAAAAAGGTTATACTTCAACCAGTCTCAATAATTAGCCTATTGGCTTACTTTATTAGTATATAGAAAAAGATTATGTAGTATAAAAGAGTACAAACACAGCACCATTGTGACAGCAACTCACTAATAAAATTGCCAACGTTGTCAAACATATCACTCACTAAAAAGACACACATAGGAACAACACCCCTTTTAAATTATTTCATTGAATGCCATCACTTGTAGTAATATTCAGCTCCACTGCTAATAATCATCCCGTTGGTATGGGTGCATAGAACAGCAATGTATGAATAGCCGGGGGATTATTTGACCAGAAACAGGACTGACTTTCTCCTTGTAAAAGTCCCTAAGTGATTCCTTGCCAGAATCAGCTTTTTTCTCTCATTGCATAGTAAGCACTTATTGTATCCAGTTTCAAATAGAAACAAAGTTTCGTAGGCAAAGAGACTGCGAGATCGTGACTTGCAAGGGCCGGCTTTTTTTCTCTCATTGCATAGTAGACACTTTGGTGTATCAGATTTCAAAAAGATACAAGGTTTCGTGGCAGAGAGACATCAAAGGATTGAACAGTTAGAGTAGCTTATAAGCAGAGCCGAGTGTCAACATAGATACTGTTTTAAGTAATATGCCTGATATAAAGAACAGGTATACAGGAAAGTATTTATAACTTCCTGCGGAATAATAGGAATCCTGTATTTTTGTTTTTAATACCTCCTAGAGTGTTTGTGAAGGAAGTTGCTGGAGTGAAACTTGGAGTGCAATTTTCTAGTCCTGTACACAGCGGTCCTAAAAACGATGATGTAGCAGAACCATATTCTACCGAAAAAATGAGCAGAGTGCCTGGAGGATACAAAGCACTGAGTCAACCCTTCCAGGCACTAACCGTGGACTTCAACAGCCTGCAGGTAATAGCCACTGATAACTGTTGTATTTTCTTCTTAAAGAGATGTGGGACTGAGGGTTGAAGATATTTGCCAGTTTCCTGTCTATGTTTAGATTTATGCTAGAGAAAGTGTGCCAGTTTATTGAATGGCATGAATATGAAAGTGTGTATGGGTACAGCAGAAGTGAGTGGGGAAATGTGTGTCGATGCAGTAGGGCACGGGGGGAAAGTGCACATCGGAGGAATGGTAGTGAGTTGGGAAGTGCACGTCAGTATAGTGGCAGCGAGTGAAGTGGTGCGCATGGGCATAGTGGCAGCAAGTTCAGGAAACGTGGCTCAGTGCATTGGCGGCAAGTGGGGAAGTGCGTTTGGGTGTCATAGCGGTGGGTGTGCATAGTGTGAGTTTGCACAGTGGCAGCGAGTGGGAGTAGTAATGCAGTGTGCATCAAGTGCAGTGGCTGTGAGTGGGCATAGGGTGCAGCGGGGAAGTGCATGTGGGGAGTAGGCGTTTTGTGCATCTATGCAGTTGTGCAGAGTGGGTGTAGTGCAGTGGCTAGAGGTTGGTGCACTGGTGGCATGTGGTAAGAATTCATTAGAGTCTGAGTAGTGTAAGGGTAGCTAGGGGGGATGGGAAAGAATATATGAGAGCAAGAGCTGTGTGCATGGATCATGGCAGGGTGGGTTGTGCAAGGGAGCCTCGCCTGTGGGAGAGGCGGAGGGAGGTAGTTGGTTGTATGCAGAAAAGTCAGCAGTGGTAAGTAGGGAATTCAGAGGAGTAAAGCTGTGTGCAGGGTAGCCATGTACTTGGTGCAGCAGTGTGCTGGGATAGGGGTTGTTGGGAAGTGCAGAGGAGTAGCGCAGTGTGTGGGGTTACCAAAAGCTGAGGGGGTGAAGGAGCTGAGTGTGTGCAGAATAGCCAGGCACACCACTCACAGCTAGTACACAGGGGAGCTCAGCAGCAAGAATAAGGCATGCCGGCACTGCCAGTGACTTTTCAGTACACCTAAGAGCTGATGAAGGTGCTGGAGATCTAGCGATAGAGTAGCCAAGACAGTGTGTGAGAGAGTGGGGGGATGTGTGCAGAGTTAGGACATGATCAGCACGCATACATGGTTGCATAGTTTTCCCCCAAGGAATCTCCACAGCATCCACCATTGCCACAGACTCGGCACCACCATCTTAGTGAAGTCCTATTATCACAGTTGAATGAATTTTTGTAGGTTAAGTTTCTATGTATTGTCCTTCCAAATAGTTTCTCTCTCCAATTACAGTATTCACACATATGCAGGAATATATTGGAGCTACAATCTGTATGTGAGGCTGGAACTAAGGAGGACATCATAAGCATAATTTTACTTCCTGGATTCTTCTTTTCCTAAGTTAAAAAAAAATGTGGTGGCAGTTGCCAGAATCCATCTACATGTAATTGGCTGTATTATTTAGTGCCAGGAGATTACTGCAGCTGTTTAAATGTAATGTGTACACAAAAGTAGATTTGAAATGCCCAAACTTCGGAATGTCCAGAGTTTGGGTTTCTGTGTACCTTTAATTACATGCAAGACTCTGCTAGTCTGTAGTTCTAGACCAGTTCTCTCATGTACTGATTCATTTTGATGGTTTGCTGCCAGGATTTGGAAAGCATTGCTTCTGGAAAGACCTGCCGGATCTCAGTTCAGATCCATGAACAAGGGCAGCTTGATTGTTTTATAACCTGGTTTGTCTTGCATTTGGATGAAGAACACAGTCTGTCAACTGAACCCAGTGAGGAAACTTGCTGGGAACAAGCAGTCTTCCCTATCCAGAACCTCCCTGGTAAGTGTATTTGTTTTGTAGCTATATATTGCACAGTGAGTTATACAGATGGCTAAACCTGCCAAATGTTGTTTTTTTATGTGGATGTAGTAGGGAATGGTTAGAAGTAGGGATGTCCCGATGCCACTTTTTCATGCCCAAGTACAAGTACATCCCCTCATGTGCTTGCTGATACCAAACGGCGAGGTAAGTAAGTAGAAGAAAAAAAAGAAGGTAAGTAAGAAGAAAAAAAAAAAACATAGCGCAAGCTTCGGCGCTAGGCTTCGGGGCATTTTGACAAGTACAAGTACTTGTCAAAGTGCCCTGTATCGGGCCCGATTCCGATGCTAGCATCGGTATCGGGACATCCCTAGTTGGAAGCTCTGTTATTAAGAAGAAATCCCACTCTCTGCAATTATCAGTGGAATGGGTGTCGCTGTGTGGATTTCAAGGGCTGCAACCAACTAATCAATTAATTGATAATGAGAATAGTTGCCAACTATTCTCATTATCGATCAGTTGGTTGGATCCTTTTGCTCTCTCCATGCTGGGAGGAGAGCATAGCAAGCAGTGGGCGGGTGCAATAGCCAGCCTGCTATTGCCTATTGCAATTTGAAATGGCCAATAGCAGGCTGATTATTGCACCAGCCCACTACCTGCTATATTTACATTAAGCTGTCGTCTGCAGAATCTTGCCACTGGCAGCCGTCATTTCCTGGCTGAAGCTATTCAAGCGCCATGTGTTTACAATACAATTATTAAATTAAAAAATGATAAAAGGTGGGAAAAAAGTCCTTTTCGGATTTGGCCTTACATATTCTGCTGCATGAGGTGCGTTGCACTGCCATTCATTTCGATGGTACCCCAAACACGTCTCCTACCCGCAGTGTGATCGCCTGCCCTGGAACGCACGGTACTGCAATGCCATGTGTTGCAGTGGAGTGTGAATGTAAAAAACTGTGCATGCAGTTCTATTCTGAAGTTAACTTTGTTTGTAACACTGCAATTGTGTATTTTATTTTACATTAAAGACGGTATTTATTTCATTATCAGAGTATTAGAAAAATTAATCCGCCAACTAATCGAGTATGAAAATAGGCATTAGTTACAGCCCTAGCGAGTTCCACTCTACCCCTGCACTGGTGAGAACCATAACACTTTCTCACTTTGTGTTACCAGGACAAATAATGAGGGTAGATCTCCCTTTTGGGGAAACGGGCATGAATAGAATGAAGAAGAGCGGCTGACCTTTCCCCGTTACAACTAAAATTAGAAAAATGTTTGTCTGGAGTTCTACTTTAAATTGTATTATTGATACAACATTGTCTGCTTTTTATTGCTGTCTGTTGTACTTGTTTTCCCTCTCTTCATGTCTGCTAAAACATTGTCCCCTGAACAGAAAGTAAGGGGAAATCCCTCCTACAGAGCCCTGGATGTCAGTTAAACCTGATGGGGGTTCTGACCTCTCTCCATGCTATCCAGAACCAAAAAAGTTTGGGGGATAAAGATATACTTTGGGATTTACTGCTGCAGCTCGTGATCATTTTTGCAGAATAATTGTTCATTATTAAACAAAATGAATGTTAAGATCAGTATATAACATTCCTTCTGTTACTTTCTCTGTCCTTTTTTTAATAGCTGATGGATACCTTGTGAAGCCTGGGGATATAGTTGTAGTTGATGTTTCCTGCCCTGACTGCTATTTAAGATTAGACCTAGTCTCTGTTTCTAGAGGTGGCAAATTGGATCATACTACTTCTTGTAGTAACATGGTGTCTGGAAATGAGTTGTGCGATGCCTTGGCCAGTCTTCACACTAGCCACCAGCAAGACATTGTGCAGGGGCCATGCATCCTGGATCCTAATGAGATTGCCATGCTAAACAACACTGCATACCACGAAAGCTTTAAGGTGGCTATCAATAAGGTTATATCTTCCCTGGCACCAGGAGACAATTGGGCCAGCAATGGTGTATTATCCTCTGAAGAACATTACTCAGATGCTCTCTATGTCCTGGATGTATCTGAAGGGTTTTCCATTTTACCCTTAATTGCCGCGCAACTAGGAAAAGTAAAATCTTACAGCTCAGTGGAAGAGGAACAGCATTGTGCTACACTGCAGAAACTGACAGAGAGAAATGGAATGTCTAAAGAAAGTCTGGAGTTCTGGCTAAACCAGCTGGATACAGATGATGATGTCCTAAAGAGGCCAAAGTCTGACAAGTTATGGAGCATCATTATTCTAGATTTGGTTGAACCTTGTGGCCTGATCAGACAAGAGGTGATGGAAAAAGCTGCAATAGCTAGGTAATGGAACTTCTGCTTTTTTGGGGGTTCTTTAGTTTAATGGTGTTGAATTAAGATCAACTATGATGTTTGTAGATCTATGTTTTACCTTGCAGTTTATTTAGATGTGATTTGGATGATGTTGAGCTGCAATAGAAACATGTGCAATATAGTATTTCATATAGAAGTGATCTTAGTTGTTTTTCTCGATAATGATCTTCTATAGATATTAATGATCTACCAACGTTAGTAAGACCAGCTGACATTCATGATGTCTGTTACTAAAGGAAGGCATTTTCTTTTCTTTTTGCACTCATTGTTTTTTTTCTGGAAATGAGGCAAGTGCCATAATATGTGTAGTCTTTCTGACCACTTCATGAACGTGCATGTTCATTAGGGCTGCAACAACTAATCGACATAATCGATTATTGAAAAAGTTGTCAACTTTTTCAATAATCGATTAATCGGCTTCCGATCAGTTGGCCCTGTTCACGGCTCCACACACGCTGCACACCGCACCTCCTCCCCACCTCACTTGCCGCTGCATCTTTTTTACTTCCATCGCTCCAAGCTTGCTCTTGTGATGGACTACAATCTCAATACAAACTAGTAGTCCATCACTGGAGCCATTTTTTAAAATGTATTTTATTGTTTATCCGATTAACCGATTAATCGAACTTAATAATCGGCTAACTAATCGATTTTGAAAATAATCGTTAGCTGCAGCTCTAATGTTCATGTATCCGTCATTTCAGAAAAGATCAATCAGTGGCTGGATTAGGCCTTCATATCTGATTTCCCAACTGTTATCTAGCAGATCTGATGATGGGCATCAGCTTTGAGAATAACTGATATGTAGTACTTTATCCATAAGTTTATTTCACACTAAACTCAACGATTCATTTAGTGAAGGCCATACTATGTCCTGGTCAGAATGTGGATGATCATGGTCAGATTGTACTTATTCGGGTAAATGTAAAAGTAAGGCTCTGGAAAACATACTTTTTGTTTCGCAGATATGACAGTGTTGCGTAAGGAACAAATTGCCCAAGTTCAGCAGCTCTCTACAAAGCAGGGACCTTCCCAAAGAAAAGGGTCACCCGGCTTGAAGAATCTAAATGTAGTAGAACCAGAGTCAGGACCTTGTTTACTCAATCAGAACCAGGCAGCCTAATCCAATCATTTACTGATATTTTCAATCTCTCTTGTTCTGAATAAGTAACCCAGGATTAGAGTTTAAGATTTATAAGACTGTTGTTCAAGCCCTGATGAAGGGGGGTCGTTTGGCCCCTGAAACGTGTTGAGTATTTTCTTTTGAATTTGTGATATCCAGAGATAAATGAAACCCAGTTCTGGATTTTTGATAGTGTCTGGCGTGCCTTCTGGTATAACATGAGTAGTGAGCAGTTACAAGATGAACATTTGTGTTATATAGCACAGGACCAGCACTGATTGTACTTAACTGTGGATATTGCCCTGGTATAGTGTAGGTGCATGCTTTGGCTTTATTTTAAAAGTATGTTGCTACTCCCACACTGTATTATGGTGTTTTGTGTTTTTTGTTGTTGTAGGTGCTTACTTCAGTCCGGAGGAAAGATATTCCCCCATGCTGTGGCAATATATGGTATGTTAATAGAATCTCCCACCTTACTACAGGAGTGTGCTGTCCAAGGCACAGAGCCTACACTCGGATTGCATATAGCACCATTCATTAATCATTTCAAGGTTGGTTAGTTCATTTCTTACTACATTTATTTTTCATACCTATAAAACTTGAAATGTGCGGGGGGTTTTTCTATTAATCTCATGCTGGTTAAAGTGAAATACAGATGTTTGCCATATTGTTACACCGTTTCCTAGCATGGGCAGATCTTCTTCACTTACAGGCTGCTTCTTGGTGGGGCTATAGTTTCCTCATCATTGCCTAAAACTTCACTTTAAATGGTAAAATGCATAATAGCCAAAAAAGGCTCTTTGTCCTAATAATGGCTTTAACCGCTCGCTGCTGATACACCTGCTGAACGCGGCTAGAGCCTGCATACCAGCTCTGTGGTGACAGACGCGCTCTCCCTCCGCAACCATGTGGGTGAGGCGGGTGGAGGAGATTAGGCTGATGGAGGATTTGACCTCCAGTTTAAGGGAATCGCAGTCCAGGTATGTGGCCACCTGGGGAGCATGGATCCACTTCAGGGGCTCGTCAGCTTTCTCTACAGTGTGCCAGGAAGAAGCCGGAGACTGAGGCACTACCCATTTACACTTTCCCACTGTGTGTGGGTGCGGGGGAGGGGGCGGCTTGGGACCACCGGGGGGTGAGACATCCGTCCACGCTTTCTTTCCCAATCTTTGTGCGTTTCCTTCCGCTTTCTCTTTGTGAGTCCTTGTATGTAAATGTCTTGTCTGTCGTGTATGTGCTGTTTGAGGAGGGACTGGCACGGGCTAGCCCTCCACGTATTGGGGCTGTACCCGGCCGCTCGCCTCGACGCTATGTTCCCTTCCTGTCCCTGTTTTTGTTTAAGTGTGTTTATTTGTCATCTATTTTCTCCATAAAATGCCTTAAGGGCGGGGACATGTACGGTTACTTGACCTGATCTTACAGCTTTGTTAACATGTTTTAAAAATGTTCTTCATTGTCTATGATTCGATATTGTGTGAGACCTTGTGGCCTCCGCTTGTCCTCCTTTTCTATGTACCCCACCCTTTTTGTTCATAAATAAAGAATTTAAAAAAATAAATAAATAATGGCTTTAACATTTATGCCGGTGGCTTGTATTTTGTAAGTATAGGAAACCTGTAAGCCCCTGTTGGTGACTTCCTTCTTCGTTAGTTGCCTGGCTGTCTTATACTTTAATACTCACAGATCTGGAACAAGTATGCAGCAAGTGAGGTCATATCTCCTGATTTACATACTCGTGTGTCACTGACTCCGAAAGTAGCGAAATCGGAGCATTACAACGACAGAGGGGTGACTAACGTTTTCATAAGAGGTCGGCAGCGGCAGTCCATGTATATCTCAGAAATTATACTCGTTATCCCCATAAAGTGCAATCCACCCAAAAATGATATTGCAAATATACACCAGTCCACCCCACTCTCGTTTGTACTCTTGGGATCTTGAAGTGCCTCTGCTGATCATATTGGAACTAACACTTTAATCTGAGTTCTTAAGGCCTGGTTCACACCTGGGCGTTTTACAGCGCATTCCTACACGCTGTAAAACGCTCAACATGTGAAAACCAATGAGTGCCTATGGGCATGGTTCCCACCTGGGCGTTTTACAGCGCGTAGGAACGCGCTGCAAAACGCCCTACGCCCAAAGAAGTACAGGAGCTTCTTTGGGGCGTTTTTGCCGCGCGTTGCCATTGGTATTCCTGAGTGTGGATCAGGGTTAACAAAGCGGTAACCCGAGCCACACTTGGGAATACAGCGTACAGGTCTTTACCTTGTCCGCGATCCCCGCTGTGTCTTCTGGCGGCTTCCGGGTTCCGTCCCTTGCGAGCGGCCGCGTCGCAGGGGGGCAGAGCCGGTGGGAAGTTTTAAAAGTGAAAATTTAAAATAGAGAAAATAAGGGGAAAAAAATCATACCGCCAGTGAAACACGCGTTTCACTGAATGGAAAAACGCGCTGAAAAACGAGCTGAAAAAACCCGCTCAGGTGTGAACCCAGCCTTATAAATCATTATAGCCAAATTCAACATTATTTTAACTATTACTGCTATCTCCTGTCTCATGATTCTGTGCTTTTGAAGCCTTCCTCTCATTCTTGAGGCTAGGGTCACACCTAGGCCATTGAGTCGATGAGCTGTTTTCGCACGTGGTTTTTTTGCACGATTTTGCTTTGAAAACCGCACGTTTTTCAATGTATAGTGATGTCTATAGGACCAGAACCACGCGACAACCACATGAAAATAGCTGCTGCACCTTTTTGCGATTTCGGCCGCGCGACACAACGTAGAGGTGTGCACAGGCTGCATTGACTTCAATGGGAATCTGTGTTTTGCGCAATAAATCGCCTAGGTGTGAACTTAGCCTCATTGTGTGGGTTCAAAGCTACAGACCTAGACTGGTGTTTCTGGTCATCTCAATGAACACATAGGCTTGCATTTTCTAATGCTCATATTCATGGCCATTGTTACCTGAAGATACTAGCAACTATAAGGAATTGGCTAGGAGGAAGAAAAATGGAAACAATTAAAGGAAGGTTGTGTCTTGTAAGCAAGTTGAATACAAAATCTTTGGGGTATACCGTTAAAGCGACACTAAACTAAGGAGTTAAATCTTAAAAATGCATTCAAGTACCTCAACTGTTACCAATACTGGACCTTATATGTGTATCACTCAGCTGCAGATCCTCAAATCATCTCTGAATTGGTGCTGACACTGTCCTTCCTTCTGGAGGGTGGCTACTTTTGTTCTCCATGGTCCCTGTGTGTGTTGTACAGTAGCCACCGCTCCAAGCTCACTCCTGTGATGGACTACAACCTCACATTTAGTTTAGTAATTTGTATTGAAGTTATAGCCTATCACAGGGGGAATGAGCTTGGAGCTGTGGCTACTTTACAACCATGGGGAAGAAAAGTAGCCACCCTCCAGAAGGGAGGACAGTGTCGGCACCAATTCAGAAATTAAAATAAAAAAACTGCTGCCCGATACACAAATAAGGTCCAGTATTGTTAATGGTTAAGGTACTTGAATGCAATTTGAAGATTTAACTCCTCTGAGTTTAGTGTCACTTCAAGACAGACCGCTGTGACATAAGCAAAGCATGCACCCACATTACATACAGGTGAAACTCGAATAATTAGAATATCATGCAAAAGTAACTGCAGTAAGTGCTGCAAAAGGGGCCCAAGCCAAGTACTGAGTACATATGCATGCTTGTACTTTTCAGAGGTCCGATATTGTTCTATGTACAATCCTTGTTTTATTGATTGCATGTAATATTCTCATTTTCTGAGGTTGTGGATTTGGGGTTCTTGGGGTTTTCATGAGCTGTAAGCCATAATCATCACAATTATGACAAATCACGGCTTGAATTATCTTGCTTTGCATGTAATGAGTCTATCTCATATATTAGTTTCACCTTTTAAGTTGCATTAGTGAAATAAATGAACTTTGTACGATATTCTAATTATTCGAGTTTCACCTGTATATACAGGAAATGTTAACACTAAGCTCCAGGCAGATATAAATAAAGCATCAATTTAGGAATAAAATAAGTTCATTTGTATAATAAACTAGCACCTCAATTGCCTAAATCTGTCTTGAGATGATTTTCCTGTAATACTCTACACTGCCAAACTTAGTATGTCAGAGGTCTATTGCTTTGCCTATTGCTGTCAGTCTGAACATTGAACATGCTTACAGAGATTGGGGCGCACACGAATGACCTCATCAGTGTGCTGCTGCTTCTTCACAGTCCACTTAGAGGCAGGGTTGTGTCCTGGACTGGGCTGTATTGCTTACCTGCAGAGAGGTTGTCCTGTCTGGCATGGGTTCTAGATCTACAGGGCTGGCTGAACAGAATTCCAAATCCTTTGGCAGCTAAGACCAGTGAAATATATACATTTCAGCTATGCATTTTGTCATTTGCCCAGAGTTCAATTTTACAATGGACAAGATGCTATATGTATGGATTAGCACAGATGTATTTCAGTGTACCTCTGCAGTCTATATTTAGATATATTCCTATGATCTATTGCAGGTTCCAGTCCAAGTGTTCCTGAATCTCTCTACACTGCCTTGTGTGTCTCTAAGTGATCCACTAGAACTGCTCAGGCTGGATCTTATGGACCCATGTTTAAACAGCTTCAGCTTTGCTCATGATCTAAAGGTGTTGTATTATCTAGAGCTTGCTGGCATTCTTTTATGGCTTTCAGGAATCTTCACTAACATTTTAGCACTCAAGTATTATAACTAACAAAGAAAACGGTGCTTGAGAGCTTATGCACAATATCAACTCGGTATATGTTTGTCTCCCTGTAGGTCCAAATCTGTAAATCAGGACAAGTGACAGCCATTCCCTTTTGGTATCATATCCACCTTGATGAAGACATTACCTTGGACACCTCCCAGGAGACATCACATTGGAAACAAGCTGCATTTGTCCTGGATAGCCCCTTCCATGTGGTACAAGGGGAAGAGATCCTGCTTGGAGTACATTTGCAGAACAGTAACATCAGCATGACTTTAAAACGGCCTCAGCAGTAACAATTTATAGCTGCGTTTGTAGTATTGCTGAGAATTTTACTTGTTACTGTATATATGTTCACTTCAAAACTGTATTGGCAAAAGATATGTTTGTTAGCATATTGCTAATTGTATATTTTAAACGCCGGAAGCTAAAAGAGTAAAATATTATAAGACCACTTTGTCTCTCTATTTTTGTGATAAAGATTGCTGTCTGTTTTCCGAATTACTGTGCCTGCATGACATGGGTGCATGGGAACTGGAAATGTTGTATCTTGGAGGAATGGTCATTTGTTATTAGATGATATGGGCTATTCAATTTCATTTTTGCACGTTTGCCTAAGGATGAATGTGCACAAGTGTATGTCCTGTGCCAACACTCAAGGTCTGTACCGAGCCTGCTGTGTATTACCCCGAGTATTGTCCTGGGAACCTTGTGTGGCCATCATTAGAGTAGCTTTCCTTTTTAGACAAGAGTGCTCCAGGAAGAGCCACATGTAATGTCTGGGTGTGTGCCAGTCCATAGAAGTGAACCTAAAATCTCAAAGAATTCCTAAACCCCAAAACGGAAGCAATATATTTCAGCTTACCAGTCCTTAGATGTGATGGCTGCATTAGTTTACTATTAAAAGCTCCCTTCCTTTATTTTTACCTGGTGATCTGGCTAGTCACACATGGCAATGATCACTTACTATACTTTATCTTTTGAGAAGTAGTGTTGTCACACTAGGCTGCTTTCCTGATTTGGACTACAAACACCTCTCCTCCCCATCTCCATTACTTATTTTTTGTAGTTCAGAGAAGATAGCTTGGAAAGCTGATGACATGATTTGACATTTGAGTTCAGTATTGTTGTCAATAAGGAATCGGTCAGTGAAGTATAGATCTATGAGTATCCTACAACACATTTAAAAAGCAGACCACACATGCAATGTCCAGTCTTGGAGTTCCATAAAACAGCATGAAATGTATGATAATAAAAGGTCTGGTTGATGTAAAGAACCTGTGTGCTAATCTTAGAAATGTATTTATCTATAGTATGTAATTATATACCAACATAGGGCAGCCACGTGTATGCAGCTCTGCTTTGTACTTTGCAGTGCTACATAATGGTTGTTATCTCAACAGATAAGCAGGAAGAGTAAGGCTGGGTTCACACCTGGGCATACGGAATATGCGCGTTTTTACCGCGATTTGCGTTAAAAGAAACACGTGTTTCCGAGGGCTATCCGGCTGTATCCTAATGGATACGCGCAGCAAATACGCCCCAAAGAAGCTCCTGTACTTCTTTGTGCGTAAGGCGTTTTACAGGGCGTTCCTACTCGCTGTAAAACGCCCAGGTGGGAACCATGCCCATAGGCAATTATTGGTTTTCACGTGTTGAGCGTTTTACAGCGCGCAGGAACGCGCTGTAAAACGCCCAGGTGTGAACCAGGTCTAAAGCTAGCCATACATGGATCAAATTTTTTTCCTGCTGAATCACTGACCTTTTAATCCGTGGGTGACCCTACTGGCATCACCTGCCTTCTTTTGTCAAAGGAGCCTGGTCAATTCTCATCCAAACAGTGACTGCAGACAGTCAACTCCAGTCACTGTTTGGGTATTCTGACTGCTCTGGGCATCGGCTGTCAAATACAATAGCCGGCAGGAAAGATTCCACCATCCACACTTTTTACCATGGGTAGGGAAATCAGACCTGTATGTATATAGCCAGCTTAAGTAGTAAGAGAGAGGAGGAGAGAGGCTTGTAAAAAGTATGTGCTCACTGATGACACAATACTTTCTTTTAAGTTTAAAAATCGTGCTTAAAATATATCATAATAAATAACATTCAAAAGTTGAATTAAATAATATCAATAAGTAAACTCTTCTAATGCTTGACCAAAGCCTTCCAAGCAGCAGATGCTCAGATAATGGAACTTTGAATACTTACTCTTCCGTCATTTTCCTCTCCTGGTGCCTATACATGGCAGCATATGTTAGAGCAGGAGTGCCCGTTAGGTCAATCTCGATCTACCAGTCGATCGCAAAGCAAACACTGGTAGATCGCGATCGGCTCACTGACCAGAGCTCCCACCCGCTGTGCTAGTGCGGCTAAATGTGTCAGACGCTGCAAACAGAAGGGGCGGGACACCTCTCCCCATCTGCAGCGTCGGCCACACGAGCACTGCGGGAGGACAGGACAGCGCACATGAGAGGAGACCTGGGAAGCTGCTGCAGTGCAGTGCAGGTAAAGAGAGAAGAGACAGCAGAGAGAGAGCGAGGAGAGACAGCAGAGAGCATGAGAGAGGCAGTAGTCCCAGTAATGCTTTTAATGTGCTTGTTTTTTTTGTTGCTAGATCTCATCATTTGAAAAGTAAACCTCCAGAGAAAAAATTGTGGGCACCCCTGTGTTAGAGCATAGGTATGCTGCCATGTAAGTGCCAGTGAAGACAGATAGCCATATCAAAGAGTAACTTGGCTTCCGAACTGCAGGTTGGAGGCGTCATCTACACATCCTAGAGCAGAGGTTCTGACACTGACTCCAGATTTGTGGGATTCCAATTTGGAGTACGTGAAAAAGGATCCACTGGGCTGATCCAGTGCTAAACCTCCTTGTGGCGAGACTTGTGTACAGTGACAAAGAAAACTATTATGGAGCAAAACGTTTTTGCATTGGATCAATGAAAATGTTAGAAAATGCTTCTTGAAGATAATATGTTGCATCTGCAGGAATATTTTAAGGTGATGTTATGTAGCTATTTTGACATGCTACTTACTCTAATGGCAGGGTGGAATGACACAGTTGTGGTCTGTAGCATGTCCTGTCATGTCAATGTTATTAATGCTACTGGCTTACATAACAGCTGCCAATGTGAGGACAGCACAACCTTTTTTTTTTTCTTCTTCACTGAGTTCAGTAGTAACAGCCAGGCGGTCAGAGAACGCTGGAAAGGGATGAAACTTTCATTCAGAAGATCTTAGTCCATTCCTGTAGAGTAATGTGTTCTCTGAGTGCAAAAATAATCATTGCACTTGAGCCATTTGCTAGTAAAAGCTAGAACTTTCAGGAGTTTTTAAAACGAACCCCCCCTTTCACTAAAAATCACATCAGCGTGCAGCTCTGCGTACTGATATAAAACCATCCTACATTTATTAAATATATTTTGCTTTTACTTACCATTACTGGTTTTCCACTTCCTGGTTGAGTGAGACACGAGCGATATAGCCCTGGCCTCACAAATGCATCCTGGGAAGGCTACATCACTAGTACCTCACAGAAATCACAAGGCATTTTTTTCCCTGAGATGATGTGCACTGCCACATGTTCCAATCACATGTGCCAGAATTCCAAGAAGTAAAGGCAGATGGATTCATCTGTCCTTAGTGAAATGGCCACAGTGAGAAGAATAGGGAGGAAAAGAAAAACAAGGCCTGAAAAGAATAAAACGTTTGCAATTATCTAGAAGAATCTGTTTGTAGATTGTCAGTACTAAACATTCCTAGAGGGGCCTTTGTTGTTATTTTTAAGATCATGCATCCCTTTTTTTTTTTACATTAAGGGGTGGTAGCCTGCGCATTCATCCTTCAATCCTGGTCATACCCAACTGCCAACATCTAAGGACACTGAAGTTGGAAAAGTACATAAAATAGCTCCATTGTTTCCTGTAAGCTTGTGATGTTAGATCACCACTTATCCATCCAAGCATCCAAATATTTATTGAAATTCTATTACAGTGTAGATTGCTCAGAGTGTGTAAAATAGTCATTCCATGTCTCATTTCTCTTGTTTGAAGTCCGCTGATCCCATCAACCTCCAGCTACATCTGCTGTCAGGCTCAAATAAGATTTCTCTAATACTATGGCTGCAAGACAACATGACCTAGATTTGTTTTGTGCATAAAGTGATATTTACACAGCAGAATCTTCTTGTCAGTGGCGTTATATTAAAGAGGACCTGTGTTTATGTATAAGTTATATAACTTGTTGTGCTGTGCACACATTCTGCCCTCTGCTTATATGCAAAGGGGATTTGAAGATCCGTTCAGGTGATTCCTTTTCTGTACATTTGAAAACGATAAACCTGCTGCCCGAGGAGTATGAGCAGAGTTGTAAGCTTTGTGGATGGGGAATTTCTCACCATATTTTTTGAACAAGCAGCACATATTTAAAGTGACACTAAACTCAGGAGCTAAATCTTAAAAATGCATTGAAGTACCTTAACTATTAAGAAAAATGTATCTTATTTGTGTATCACTCGGCTGTAGATCCTCAAATCATCTCTGAATTAGTGCTGACACTGTCCTTCCTTCTGGAGGGGGGGCTACTTTTGTTCCCCATGGTCGCTGTGCGAGTTGTAAAGTAGTCACCGCTCTAAGCTCACTCCTGTGATGGACTACAATCTCACCTTTTAATTTGTTAATTTGTATTGAAGTTGTCCATCACGGGAGCGAGCTTTAATGTAGCTATGCAGATGTTAGCTGTCTCCATGTCCGTTTGATCCATGCAGGTCAATACACACCAGCACTACTATATGTTCTAACTATAATACTATGTATAACTATTGTCACACTTCCTTGTGCCATGATCCGGGTCCCAGGTGCTCGGCTTCCTGCCAATCAGATCTGAACCTGTGTGTTAAGTCTTCTGCTCGCTCGTTTCTTAGCGTTCAGGCAATGTGTCGTATGACTTAGCTGGACCCCCTGTGTGCTATTGTTGCTTTGGATCCCTGCTGATGACTATTTACCTGCTTTGTTTCTTGTGTATCCTGTCATTCCCTTGTGCTCCCAGCGAGATCCTGCTTACCTGTGGGTTTGTCTTCCTCCTGTGCGGCTGTTTGTCCTTGCAGCCTCGCTCCTCTGTTATCTCCGTATAGCCGTGTTGTGCTGCCTGTCTGTTGTCTCCTTGTGTTCCCTTCCCATTGTTGTTTGGACTCCTGCTCCTGTGTCCCTTTGTATCCTGTACTGCTGTTTGTGTACAGGCCTTGCCCTGTCTGTCTTTGTGTCCTGAGCCCTGGTACTGCAACCAGTTCCGAGTCTGTGCGGGTGCC